AACCTAATCCTAACCCTAAACCTACCCCTAAACCTACCCCTAAGCCTAACCTTAAATCTACCCCTAAACCTACCCCTAAACCTAAACCTAATCCTAACCCTAAACCTACCCCTAAACCTACCCCTAAGCCTAACCTTAAATCTACCCCTAAACCTACCCCTAAACCTACCCCTACCCTTAACCCTACCCCTAAACCTACCCCTAAACCTAATCCTAACCCTAAACCTACCCCTAAACCTACCCCTAAACCTAACCCTAAACCTAACCCTTACCTTAACTTAAATCGCGCTTCTGTCGGCGCGCTGTTGTTGTCGCGTTGATGACGTTGCGGTTTTAGCGCCACGGTTTTATCAGCACGCTTTTGTCATGCGCGCATTTGTCGGGTCACAGGTTCAAACACCTATGGCTCTGCATTCTGGACCAGCGACAGCTTCTGAGCTGTGTTCAAGGGCAGCCTCACCTAGAACACATTGCAGTAGTCCACATTCTGAGGTGCAGTTGTCCACGTCTGAGGTCCACATCTAAAGCACCTCCGTGGCTGTTTGGAGGGCCTCCCAGTCCAGAAACAGTTTGTGGATAGAGGATGGATCCATCCAAACGGTTTCCTACGCCAGCTACCACTTTCTCTTCAAGCAGGAGCTGCAAGTCCTGGGGAGAGCTCCAAATTGTGTACAAGTCCCAATGGAAAATAGAAAATGTTCACTTCAGAGTGGTCCGAATACCCACAGCCACTCAACGTTGCTAGGGTCGAGTCTGAATCTACCCCATCCTGTCCAGATACAAACACACTGGGACGAGACTTCAAAAATCAACTTTGTTGACCAGGGATGTTGGTACACATCTCGGTATCCCCTTTATACATATTTATATTTTATTCCCAAATTATGTAGATATGATGTACTTACGGATACTTGGAGGGGCTAGATATCCAGATGTTTACAACCCAAGTCTGGTAGCCCAATGTAACAGATGTTCTGGTCTTCACCATTTAAGCTTCTGGTTGAAATCATGAATCCTGTCCCAAGCAGATGAATGTCATCTGCTACTATGGTCTCAGATACCATGTTAGTATCTGGCCTCTTCTAAAGCCAAGATTTAAAAAAACTATAGTTTAAAAAGATAATAATATTTCACTTTTGTTGCCTGCAGAAGAGGAGTTGACGTTCGATACTGTTCATTTCAATCCTTATCCATTCTAAGCATTGGGAAATGATGTCCTGGTTCTACCGTAGCCTGTTCCTTTTCTAGAGAAGAATTGTTCTACAACTGTACCATGGGTCTATCCTCAATGACCCAGTCTACCGTCTTCACAGGCCAGCTCTGGACCTGTTTGACCTCACGTATCCTTATACTCTCCTCAAAACCATGAGCCACGGTAGAGAATGGATTCATCTATGTGTCAGTTGGCCACAACCTGTGAGTGCATCACCCATAAAATGTACTACTCGAGAGCCTTCCGAAATTCGGATGACCGAACGCCAATCCGCGCTGTTGACTCCTCATGGTGTGTTCCTAATTTTCTTCCTTGGCTGCTAAAGCTCTGTGTCTAACTTTTCAGTTTAAATGCACTTGGTGAAGCAAAGAAATTTCGGGGTGGGGATGATAAACCTTCTTCTCTTGGGTTCCAGAAGGTAAGAAGGAAGCTCTGAGCCCAGCTGGCAAGCTAAGATTCTGAATGTTCTAACCACCGTCGTGTCACCAGTTTTTCCTTTCCTCTGGCTGTCTCGTATACAGTACTGTGCGTTTTGCGCTCTCAATGGTTGTGACTAGCATTGCCGCCACTTGGCAGGAGTTCTGTGTATCTAACCCTTTCTCTTGTCCACCTTCTTTGCATGCCTCCGAATACAGTTAGCTGTGTGATTGATGCATGTCGAAAGAAGCCTAATCTCTGTTTTTCGTCTCTCTGTTACCACCAGGCCTCCTGAACCCGTTTACAGCACTGTGAACAAATTCTGTGATAAGCCACCTTCTCCTAGGCATTATTCCCCTGTCGAGTGTGACAAAAGCTTCCTCCTTTCAGCTCCCTACCCCCACTACCACATAGGCCTGCTCCCTGACTCTGAAATCATCAGGTACTGCATGTGCTTATTCCTCGTTTCCACATGTGAGCATGCATGGGTGTCACGTAAGGGCAGACGAGACGCTGTACGCCCGCCTCTCCGAGACGCTCTCTCTTGATTGATGAGGAAACACCAAACAAACACCATCTCTCCAATCAAGAGAGTTCAGTCTGGAGAGCTGGGAGCCCCTGGTGGCATCTGAGCCCTTTGGGGTGGGACCCCTACCGAAGGTGGGAAGTTGCAATTACGTGGAATTGGATATCTTAACTCTGGGGTGACACCAAAAGTGGGTTTCTGCTGGTTTGCCCTGGATCGGATGAACCAGTAGCGGCAGTGGCGGGAGGCTCCGCCCACCCACC